GCCAAATCAAGTATTACATTACAAAAGCTATTGATCTTTCCCCAAGTGGCATTTTTATTTTCTGTATAAAACTCTGAGTAAGCTCGAACTTTGAAAATGCTTACTCCTAAACTCTTTTTTTTCTTTGCTTACCAATTCAAGTGATTCTCAGAAGAGTAAATACCTTTTTCCTTTATGTAACAGAAGTCTTCAGATAGTGATAATCTCAGATAATGTCAAGATACAGAAGACTAAAAGTGTATTTTCAGCATATTTTGTAAACACTTCAATACTGAGTACCTTTTACTTTATTTCTCAGATTTTTATTTTTTTAAATCTAGGTAATTTTTCACAGAATATCAGAATGGTTTTGTTTGGAAGAAACCTTAAAAGATCCTCTTTTCAACACCCTGCCTTGGGCAGGGACACCTTCTGCTATCCCAGGTTGCTCCAAGTCCTGTCCAACCTGGCCTTGAACACCTCCAGGGATGGGACATCCACAGCTTCTCTCTCTGGACACCTGTACCAGCCCCTCACCATCCTCACAGGAAAAGTTCTTCCTCATAGCCGATCTAACCCTGCCCTCTGTAAGTTTGAAGCCATTCTCTCTTGTCCTGTGACTCCAGGCCCTTGTCCAAAGTCCCTCTCCAGCTCTCTTGAAGCCCTTTTAGGCACTTGAAGGGGCTCTAAGGTCTCCCTGGATCCTTCTCTTCTCCAGGCTGAGCACCCCCAGCTTTCCCAGCCTGTCCCCATAGCAGAGGGGCTCCAGCTCTCAGAGCATCTCTATGGCCCTACAGTTTGGGCCTCCATCACCACCCTGCTGGTTTTGTCCTCCAACCCCAGAACTGTCAGGTACAGCACACAGTGCCCTGTTATTCTCCAGTGTAAATAAAAAATAAATTATTTAGCATACTGTTTTGGTAATATCAGCCATTGCAAAGCAGCGCTGCTTTTCCCTGGAGTAGCCACCTGGCTCCTTGGAAGCTGGTGATAGGCGCACAATGAGAGGTCTTGAGCAAAGGGAATCAGGAAATCACGCCACAAGATGAATATGTGAGTGGTTTGGGAAGCCAGAGCCTTCATCCTTAACATTGTTGCCAAACACAGGGGTGTCCAGCCGTGCCTCCAACGTTTCTCAAATGTTCCAGCTTAGCAGCTCCTCGGCACATTTCCTCCAAACACGGAGTAGTCGGTAAGCAAGTTAACGTTTGGCCTCTTGCCTTCCCCCCACACAAAGAGCTTTGTATGTCAAGTGTGAAAGCTTTAAAACGGAATTAAAAAATAAGATTATTTTTCATCCTGGATGGGAGGTGACAACATGCAACTCTTTACCTTTCTTTCCTTTCCCTTTTTAGTTTTTTTTTATGCTGAAAGAAAGATATAATGCAACACATTTTTGGAAGACTAAGCAGACGTTTACTGTGCCAGGTCCTATCTACTGCATCCTTCAGCATGTTCCAAGGAAAGCAGGCAAAGTATTTTAACTCTGCTATACACCACATAAGTCAGCTTCTTAACTGCTTAGGGTGACTGGTACTACTAGAAAGGGAGTAAAAACTATCTATTTTTAATTCTTTTGATAAACGAGCTGAGCAGTGTAGTTGCTGTCACTTATTGTGTCTGCTTTCCAGCTGAGATTGCTTCAAGGTGGTGTATCACTAGGGGTTTCACTGTTTCTTCATGTAGGAAAGATTCCCAGTAAACTGGCTTTTATACTGATGAAAGAGGACTTCAGTCCTGTTGGAGTGACTCGCTTCTCCTTCCAACAACAGAATTTGGAAAATTTCACTTGCATGAAATTGAAGTTGTTTCTCAGTTAGAACATCCTGTATCATTTCTTGTTTTCAAGAAATTATAGTTGAAAAAAAAGCCCCAAAGACTGTGAAAAAAAGAATAAGTGAGTACTCTTTAGACTTAAAAAAAGGTGTTACTTACAGATAAAGTTATTTTAACTTAAAGTTTCTGTGACTTCCCCAACACTGAATGCCATTTTCTTTAAACTCTGTTGGTTGGCCTGGAGTCATTCTGCCTTTACAGTATGTGCTCACTCTTTCTCTTTCTTCTCCCTTTTTATTTCGTGTTATTGCTTCATTTTGAGCTTATAAAATATACCTTAGAAATGCAAAGGTAAGGGAACATTACATCTTTTTGAAGCAGGAATGGTGCAAGAGAAAAAAAGTACTGTTTGTGATCTTGAGACATGAAGAGGAAAGATGATCTGCTGTTGTCTTCTGCTCTGGTGTTTCCTTAAAGATGATACAATTGGGCTATCCCTCTGTTCATTTCTCCTGCATTAGCTGCTTATTTACAGACTATTCCAACACTGGTAGGACTGATGGAATGGCTCTCCTTATCCCTTGAATTGTGAGGTTCCATGCCATGATGGGGCTTTTTTTGTTAAAGGGCATTAGGAAGAAAACACAGTCCAGTTATTTATGACAACCACTGTTTTCTTTGGTGGTGGTTTAGAGCAACGCATGAGGATCCACCTTGAAAAAAGAATTACTTTACAGACAGAACTGAAGGCAGAAAACAGTTTTATTTCACATATGTGTAGGTAGTTTTACTAAATAAAAAATATTCATACAGGGAGAGTAATTGCAAGTATTTATTTAGTATTTAAGAACAGCATCAAGTCCAGTGTTTAGACAACTACTGTAGACAATTTGTAATGAGAAATTTAGCCTTTGTGATGTTTGAGACTGTACTAGAGAAAACCATAGCTGAATTCCAAGGGTTTGGGCAAGAGTCCTCGTTTAAGCTGGGAGGTTGGACTAGAGATTTCTAGAGGGAGGGTTGTCATAGAGAAGCTCAATCTATTTGATGAGCCAGCTCAGATTAATTTATTTCCTTATTATCTGGTAGTACCCAAATAGTAATTTCTGACTGCCAAAGAGACAAACGATTACAGAATTAAAACCATATTGCATAAAAAATTAGCTTTTTTAATTATTTGAAGATGTTATCCCTTAATATGCAAAAAACCTAAACCCCCAAATTAGATGCTTTTGTAAAGCATACAGTAAAATTACACAGGGAATCTAAGACTGCCATTTCTAGGATGAATTTTGTGAGAAGTGTACTGTGCTATGCAGAAGTTCAGATTAGATGATTTTGGTGATGCCTTCTATTTTCAGAAGTTTAGCTGAATTAATCCAGAGGCAAAATTGAGCTCTGTAATGGATTGAAGTTGCAGCATGCATTATGAAAATTATTTTTAAAGGATACAAACTCGGTCTAGACTTCCTCAGTGCCTTGATGGATTGGATTAACTGAAAATTTTTAGTAACCTGAAGTGGCAGCTCCAGAAAATGTAGTCAAAGATGCCAGAAGTCTGCATAGAACTGGAAAATGCCTAAGTAGAACAGTTTCTATGCTGGTGACTAAAAGTCCAAATACAGTGAAAATTATTGACTTGATAGAGAAGAGAAGAAAAGAAAGAAGGACTATCCAGGTGTGTTCCTGGTCAGTTCGTAGTTTAGTTTATGGCTAAACTGAATATGTTGACTGTCAACCTGACCCTGTAAGTGATGGATTGGATTGTCATAGAAGAGGGACCTAAAAGGCAGAAAACAGAGGAGGAAAACTGTGTATTTGAAGTACTAATTTTATTTTCTTTTTGAGAATTGCTTAGGCCAAATGCAGCTTATGTAGACAGCATATGTGTCCAAATTGACTTACTGGAATTGCTTTGGTTTTCCATTAAATCAGATTAAAAAACTCTGCGATTTCGATTTCATCAAATGTGAAAGTGCACAGGGGGTCAGAGCAAAATTTCTGTTGTGTGTGCATATGGATTTTCCCTAATGTTTGTTGTCCTTGGTGTGAACACACCTGTGCTTTACCTACTTTATGGATGGTTTCTTGAGCCGTACAAGTACAGTGTCGGTGCCATCAGCCACTCCTGATCCCGCTTTGTACCCGTAGTGATAACTGTTCTTACCAGGTGCGATGATTTAGCCACTGAGTTATAGTTTCAAAGACAGTTGCATTCATTTCCTTGTTTAGGACAATCTACTTGATTGAGAGATTGGAGTAAGTTGTCTGCTTCTGACGAGAATAATCATTCCTTTTAATCTGACTACTGTTTCCTGCCTCTGCTAACGGGAAGGATTTAATCTCTTGTGGAGACTAGATGCTTACCTTGTAAAAATCACCCCTGCTCTGTTGAAGTAAACAGAGCTGAAGCACGTGTTCAAACCTGACCACAACCTTCAGTGCTGCTCCAACCATGATTCAATTATGGCATCATGTATATGTGGAGGGGAGGGTGTGTGTAATGTTTATGGTTTCATAACTTGTCTCTTTTGAGATACACTCCTTTGGTTGTCACTGGACTCCATGTGAAATACATTCTTAAGTGCAACAGTGAACATTTTGAGGTGTTTTTCTTGAACAAGCTCTAATTCAGTCTAATTTCCTTCCTTTTCCTCAGGTGTTCAGAAGTATAAAATTCGAGCATTGATTAACAGTCAAAAAAACGGAAACAGATACATTTACCACTTATTTATTTCTGTGTACTGAGAGTGGGAGAGGGCACTTCAATGCTCTTCTGGCACATCCTCAGTGTGATGGAGTTTATTCATTTCAGAATTTGAATGCACATGGGCTCAGTTCTGCAGAGTGCAGGACGTGTTGGCCTCGATCCAGAAGAGCGTTGTATTTGTCTGGTCACCTGTAAACACGTGGGCAGAGGGCTCATGTGCTTCAGTTTAAACGTGCCCCTCAGTCAGGGCAGGCTGCTCAGCACCTCTCCCGCCTCAGCCCTCATCCCTGAGGGTGAGCCGTGTACAGGCAGTTTTGTAAAATAGGAATTGACACCCTCCTCTGGGAAATTTAACTCACAAGACTAATAACCCACGTGTGGTTTATATTTCTTCATCTTGACTTGTTCAATGCATGTTTAATTTGGGAGGGTTGCTTCAAGGTTGTGGCGGGGGCGCTTTGGCGCTATAATTTCTGTTGTGGAATGCAGTTCTTGTTGGAATAAGGTACATGATGTACTTTTACTCTTTTGTCAGAGAGCAGAAAGACAAACACGAGCCATGGACTCAGTCCAGTACGCAGAATTCTGTGAAAGTCGGCAATTGAGTTTTTGTAAGTATTAGAATGGCTGCACTGTATGGAGATGTTTGATTATTATTTCATGTAATAGAGAGCACACCAGAACCTCGTGTTTTTTGAAAGCACTTTTGTTTCATCCTCAGTAATAAAACTTTAAATTCTTTCTCTGCATGACTCCTGGGAACAGTTAATTTAGCAGTTTCGGGCTGTGTCGGGCAGAGTGTTTTATTTGAATATTTACCAAGCTTTCCATGTGCTTCAGCACTGTGCTGGTGGGGACCATAGAACTGGTAAGGAGTTAATGGATTAGAACCACCACTTGCCTCGAGTTGTCGTGGTGGTGTCAAAGTTGGCATATTAGGAAGTTTCATGGTTGCAGGTTTTTCGGAATGCATCTAAAATTAGAGAAGAGCAGCAAGTTTTGCTTTTATTTCCCGATCCGCAGAGACACAAAGAACTTACTAAAGAGACTTTTCTATTTTAAGCTGTAAGCTCCTGCTGTGGAATTTGTTCAACATTAGCCAAGTTCATCAGTATATGCCATTCCAACACTAATAACATGATGACAGAATTAGGGCTTTTCTAGCACTGAAAACCAACTTACTAGAAGTACTTGTGGGCCACAACTATAATGAGCTGTAAATTAATGGGCTTGATCATGTAGCAAAACATCATTACAGAAGCGGTTAAGTGATGACTAAGGTTTTAGGTCAAATGTCAGAGAAAGGGAGGCGAAGGAGCCAGTAAAAACCATGACAAAACAGCACATGATCCTACAACACAGACTTGAACACAATGGTGTCTTTAAAGGAGAGACCTTATCTTCTTCTTCCTTCTAAATTCAAAGAAAGAGTGACTCATTTATGGCAAAAAAAATGACACATTTGAGATACTGTTCTGCATCAGCAAATGTCAGCAAATGTAGAAAAACATGTTTTGCAAGCATTTCTTTTCTTAATTCAATATGTTTTTTATGTTTAGTTATAATTTGGCATCACACATCTGTGAGCCATTAGATAAATGATACTTCAGATTAGGGTCACTTCAGGAAATGAGAGGTTTGTGATAAAGTCATTTTGAATACCCAAAAATTGCCATCTGGACACGGAACAAATAGAAATTTCAAATTTGAAAATAAAATTGAATGTTGGTGACCAGGGGATTGTGATCTATAAAAATATCTCAGTGCTATTTTCACAGTGTTTTTAAATGACCATATCTCTAAGGTTCTTTTTCACTAAGCATTTAATGTCATTAAAGAATATGAGAATTACAGTGGTTAGAAAATAAAAGCAAGAGAGACTTGGGCACAGATTCAATTACATATCACGAGCTCAATTAGATAGAACATAGCAAGTGCCATGCAGAACATTTGTTCAAAACTAACATAAAGGCTAATTTTTAACTTCTTATATTTTAGTAAAAATTGAATCTGTTACTATGTTTAAAGAAGAAAATATTTTTTACTGTAATATAAACCCATAAAAACTGTGTCATAAGAGAATAAACCTGGAAGGGACTTCAAGAAACCAGTTCTAAAAATATGTCTTAATAAACACAGCTCCAGATATTTCTGTGCACTTTTAAAGACAGGCAAAAGAAAACGTCCGTCAAAGGATCAAGTACTACAGTATTACAAATTTTAATTGTAGGGAGCAATTTTATGGTTCTTCTGTCACCTTCACACTTCTCATATTTCTTCCTTTCTTTTTATTTGTTTTCTTTTCCTTAGTGACCCCATGTAGCCTTCTCATTCCCTCCTAAATAAAAATAACCATTATTTACACCTGTTTCCTGTTAAACACCTGACCTGTCTGTTGCTTTTTAGTCCTTGTTGGAAGCACTCTTTAAAAAAAGAGCTGTTTCAGATGATTCTTCACCTTGTAAGCACTTCATTTTTGTGTTCCTGTCTCACAAACAGCCCTCATTAAGATTTCTGTCTTTACAGCTCTTTCTGTCCCCAGATTTCTGTGATTATTTTGTCCACCACTGACCTAAGTAAGATCACCCTTTTTTTTTTTTTTCCTTTTACTCTCTAAGCAAAACCAGTGTTTCTCTGTTCCATATTTTTCTCTGCCCTTTCTCCAAAGTGGTCTCATCCATTACCAGTCTGAAGTTCTTGTATGGATGTTGGTCATTTGCAGATCTATATCTATCCTTATTTCTTTTTATCAACAGCACTCTTTAAAAAACACTCATTTACAAATCGTTTTTGCTCCCTTGTCAGCACCTAACCCCTGTATGGTTAACGCCAGGACTGCTGAATTCTTCTGTCCTTTCTCATTTGTCTTTGTTGTTGTTAATAAAATAATATCAATTTTATCTGGGTTCATATTTGTATTGATTTCTTTCAGCCCTTTCTCTAATTCATCATTATTTCTTTTACAATACATTCCAAATCAGGAATTCTTTTACAATACATTCCAACACTCCTCTGAGGTTGACCCTTCATTCTTTTAAATCTTCTGTATGATTGATTATCCTGTGTTTTTTTTCTCTTTACTCCATGTGCTTATGGGTCTCCAGAATGTTGTGTATGAAATAACAGTCTTTGCCACGGGTTCCACTTTGGTAATTCCTTCCTTGATCAGTCAAATCACACTCACGCTACTTGTTCCACATTTTCAGTATTTCTGCTACCCAAAATATTGATTATTTTGGCCTACCTGTTGTTAACTTTTCCTTTTCTGCATATGGTTTTAAATGACAGCAAAGAAAGCATCCAAATTTCGTGACTGGTTGGACTGTAGCAGTATGGAAATAAAGCCAAATGCGGTTGCAATGGAGATTTTGGCATATTTAGCATACGAGACTGTGGCCCAGGTAAGGGACTCTGCTGCCTGAACTCTAATTAAAATGAAGTAATTACTCTTGGATGTACTTCAGCCTCAGCGACGGGGTTGTGAGCCCCTTCAGAAGTGCAGTCACTACTCCAGCTAACCAAGCTAAATGGATTCATGGAATCACAGAATGGTTTGGGTTGGAAGGAACCTTAAAGCACATCTAGTTCCAACCCCCTGCCATGGGCAGGGACACCTTCCATTAGACCAGCTCAGAAATCCTGTCTGTCCTGCATGACAGATGACAGATGTGAACTACACTGTATCATCCCTCTGATGCACAAACAGAAATGTTTCATAATGGCTACAGGGGAGAGTGGAGTCCAGCACGAACTTTATTCAAGTCCAAACTGAAACCACATACTTTTTGCTATGTGACCTTTGGCAGTGTGCTGAGGCTCATTCAACCCCATTGCACAATTGGATTATAAAGAAGGATTTCCTGGAAAACAAAATGTTACCTTAGTGCCAAACCGAGCCCTCTTGGGTAGGCAGATTGCTCCATATATTTACAGAAGTGGAAAAGAAAGGTTCCTTAGGCTGAAATATCTCTGAATAATTTTGTTTTCAGCTGAGAAACACTAAGAATATTCGGCCTCAACCCACAACCCCTCACTATCCCATTGTTACAACGGCATTTGTAACCCTCCCCCTTGTTTTGCCTCTCCAGCTGGTGGACTTGGCCCTTTTGGTTAAACAGGACATGGCTCCCAAAGCTGGTGACCCGTTCAGTCATGCCATATCGGCCACCTTCATACAATACCACAACTCTACTGAGGTAAAACTTGCTTTTTCACATATTAATGCTTTTTATGTTTTACTTTCACATGTATTTTCTTCCAGAGTAGATGTTTTTGATTCTGGTATTGATACAAACTTTCTGTTGTGGAGTTTATGAACTCCGAAGTGATAGATTTAGATAGAAAGGCATTAAGTTGTAGTTCTGAATGTTAAATTCTTAGCAGCATCTTTATAAATAAATGCAAATCCTCTTTTCTTCAGTGGAAATTCCTTCTCTCACCATTCAAGGCTCTCTCTATTGCAGATTTGGAGACTGAAGTTTTCAAAATTGGCAAGTGCACCAAGTGCTGTATTGCATTGCTATAATAGATATTCTAGAAACTTCTGGAATGAGGAACCCAAATTTGGTATTACATCTCTTCTAAGAGGAAATCTAAGACGGCAATAGTTGAGGGGTTTTTTTGTGATTTGATTATATAATGGCTGTTTGTCATCTTGCTTTTATAGCCACATCTCTCAGGGCAATCTTCAAGTGCGAAGACAAGCCTTGACTCTCCTGAAAACACACCACCTCCTACACCCACCCCCCCAGCATCAGCAGGACAGCAGCACCTTGGGAAAACCCCATCAGGAGCCTTGGGGAATGGTGGAATCGGACAGGACTCGACCAAATCCAAACAAAGGAAAAGAAAAAAGGTATTTGGTGCACAAGCCTGGGATTAAAAGAAAAATAAACCAAAAGATCTTCAGGAAATCAGTACATAATCAAATAATGGTTTGGATTGGAAGGCACCTTAAAGACCATCTCGTCCCAACTCCCCTGCCGTGGGAAGGGACACCTTCCACTAGACCAGGTTGTTCAGAGCCCCATCCAATCTGGCCTTGAACACTTCTAGGGATGGATCATCCAAAACCTTGTCTTGACAACCTGTGCTAGGACCTCACCACCCTCACAGTAAATAATGGGTCTCATTTTAAAGATTAATTTTAACCTGTATCACATATTAATGACCCTTGTTATTGTAGAGCCAAATGTGTAGTTTGGGGTTTTTTACATCAGAACTAGGCTCGAGCTACCCAGTAATGCCTGCAAACTGAGTTTTGTTAAGGTAACAATTGCTGCTGCTCACATAACCTGCTCTTCTACATCCACAGCAGGAGTCACCACCCCAAATCACCATTCCCTTCTCTGGCAGTGGCAGCGAGCACGGGTTTTAAGGGTCAAAACATAGGCAAAGCAGAAGAAGAGGTGCTTGTGATTTTCCTGCTCCCAACAGCCTGTAACAGCTCTGCCTGACTTGCTTTATTTTTATGCCAGTTTGTTGCATTCAAGCTAAATATTTGTTTACTTTGCATAAAATACAGATGTCTCATATGCAGAGTGTGAAATGTAAATGTTGCAATTCTTGTCTGCTGTTGTGGAGTCTTAGTGTTTTGTCTGAGAGGGATATATGTACCTTAAAACCACAAGGGAAATAGGTTTGATTAAATAAAATGGATAGGAAGCCCTGCCTTAGTCACTTGGGGCTGTTTTGAAAAAAAATGTGACGTCAGTGCTCATTTTGCTTCAGAGCAGTGGAGTGACTTGGGATTCTATCATGTGTTTCATTATTAAAAAATACCAGAGTATTTTTTCCAGATTAAAATCAAATTTTCCAGAGTAAACTCAGTGATTTTTACAGTGATAGATAGAAAAAGATGTATTTTCTCCTTCTTTCTCCTAATATGTTCAACTTTTTGTCTGTCCTTATACTCCAGTTAGAAAACTATTAGTGAATCCTAAAAGCCTTTCAGAAAACTTTTGCATTTCCTCTTCCATTTTTATATTACATTTGATTATGTTTTGTTTCTGTGGCTGATTTCCATTATAATTCCTAGGAACAGGAATTTAGCTGGCAATGTAGTTTTTGATATATTTTGCTGGTGGTATGAGTTTATTTTTAAATTCTTAGTGTTTTGCTTAATGCGTTTTAAAACAATTGTATTCCAAAAAGTGCACAATTTTAATGAAAAGTTCTCCTGACTTATCCAATTTGGTTAGGTATCTACTGAATATAACTGAGGCATTGAGACAAACAAGTTAACTTGGTGAAGAATGTTATTTTTAGGCTGTGAAGGCCCAGTCCAGCAAAACATATTTGAGTTTCATATTCCCTTTATGAATGTCAATCAGCAAGGGAAGAATCTGCCATCGTATTATGAATAATTCCATGTGTACACACGGGCTCCAGTGGACTCAGCACTCTGGAAAATAAAACATTTCGCAGAAAATATCCCAAATCTGAGACCATTAGTGGATCATGTGAATGTATGAGGGGGCTGCCTATGTGTGTTCATTAAACTTCAGTGTATAACTTAAGTTTTTGTCATTCTCAGTACATTCACTAGTATAATTTTCAAGAATTTATTGCCAAGAAGCCATCATTTGATAAGTCATCTGAATTCTGGCAATTTAGGTGGAGCCTAAAACAGCATTTCAGATTGACTTACAAGGAGAAAAGAGTAACTTTTTCTTCTGAAATCCTGACAAAATTTTTGTACAATTGCTGCCCCACTACCAGTGAATTCTTCTTTTTATCTATTTAGAGTCCATAATGCAAAAAATAATTTCAAATTTGAAAACATTCCAATTTGAGGTAATTAATTTTTTTTTTTGCATCTTTCTAACACCATTATGTCACATTTCAGCTTCAAATTTCAGTTTGATGTTACTCAATGGTGATTTTGGTGTCAAATTACTTTCCATTTAGGGTGCTTGTTCAATATTTTCCCCACCCCTTGACATCATAATAAGAGCCTGAAATGTTTTAAAAATAGTTTCTGTGGTTATTGCGCTGTGACTTATATGACCCTCTCATTTTAGTTTGAACATTTTCTGCTCTTTTCAATTGCAACACACAGCAGCACTAGGTGAAAGATTTAAGAGGACAGACATGGTGTTCTTTGGGTCTCTTAAGCAAAGTTCATGTAAAAGTCCCCTTTAATTTGTTAATAGCTTTTTCTCTCTAATGTAGTGTGTGGCAGCAATGATGTGTATCCTCAGGAAAAAAAAAAAAAAATTGCTCCATTTTATAAAGGTTTATTTTCATGCCTTATGCACTGTAGGTCTGTTGTGTGTTTTTGATTTAGTAACAATTTATGTGTTTTTCTGTTGCAGAGCACTGCAGCCTGTGGTATAGAGGCTCAAAGTGATGCCATCCAGCCCAGCCACATCAGAGAGGCCATTCGACGCTACGGCCACAAGATTGGCCCCCTTTCCCCATTCACAGTACGTAATAACAGAGTTATAAAAAGTTATATTTATAATCTTAAAGAACTTTGATTTTCAAGTGGTCGAATGAAGAAGCTTTGGAATTGTTGAGAGCAATTTGTGGTGACTGTAATTTTCTTTATAAAAGTGGCATAATTCTCCCGGGAAATAAAACTTAGTAATTTCTGTCTCTTTTTGGAAGGACAAAAAAGTTTCTTTTTTTCCTTTTAAATATTATTTTCTTTCAATTACAAATTATGCTTTTTTGTTAGTGCTTGAATCTTCTGTTTTTCCAAAGTTTAGGTTTACAGTTATTTTAAATTATATGTATTGCAGTATGGTGAAGAGCACTTTATATTCTAAAATTAGTTGTGTGTCAGATACTGCTCCTATTGGAAGCTGAACTCTCAAGTGTCACATTTACAGTTGGAGAAAGAAGAGAATGGTTTCTTTAGACAACTTTGAACCTCCACTGAAATGTAATAGAACCGAGCTTGTGGTAAAACACTGATGGGTCCTGAGGTTTTGCCATCATTTTTTCAATGCAAATTGCAAATCCATTGTTCAGCCAAACGAATTCTTTATTTCATTTTCTCAGCTGATGAAAATGTGAAAGCAGTCCATCTCCAATGTCATAAATTGGGGTTATTTTCTTCTCATCTGCTCCTCTAAGTGGCATAAATCCTGCTTACCTCAGAATATCTACATTTAGGAAGCAATAAATGTCAAAGAAATCATTATAGGAAAGACAAAACAAAAAGAACAAACCCACCAAACTAGATCTGAGCTTTTAAAAATCAAGAAGAAATAGTCAAATTTTAAGAGATTTTAGGAAAAGAAAATTATTCTGAATTTGGAGGAAATTCATCTACATAAAAATGATACAGAAGTGTATGAAGACCATAAATATCAAGGAAATAGTGGCCCTTGACCTCAGAAGCGAGGGACAACCAAAAAAAAAGTAAATGAGTACGTGAAGTAATAATTTTCCTAATGTCAGAATTGATCAATGCTTTTAAAAATGACAGTGAATGTTTGGTTTGTTAATGATAGTCAATACTCATTTACAATGAATTGTCTTTACATAATTTTACCTCTCACAAATGACAGATTAATATCATGTAAAGCATAGGATAGAATTTCTAGCCCAAAGCAGAAAAATGTCTTTAGCAGAAGTTTGCTAAGAGATGTAGTTAAGAACATGGCAATGGCTTCTGAAAGCAGAGAGTGTATTTAACTTTATTATAAAGAAGTAAAGAGCTCAAATAAACAGTTGCAGAAAGGTGAGTCTTCCTCCCCTGACCCTCACTAGAAGTGGTTTGGTCAATTATTAACCAAAGTTTAACTTTTTCTGCAACCACAAGTTATAATAAAATCCTCTGGTTTGGGCTGGGGTTTTTTTATGTCCTCCAATCTTATGAACTTCCCAAAACAGTGCAGCTAACTGAACAATTTAATTTGTTAACATTACTTACTGTCAACGTGGTTGATGAGATGAGCAGATCTTGTTCCCTCTCAACAAGCCAAGAATGAGAGGGAATCTTGGGTCAGCTCCTGGATGCATTCAGAGGTTGTAGGGCTGTAAT